TGAATATTTTCATTACAGTTCCTGACCAGGATTGCAAACAAAAACACATTAAAAATCTAACTCAGTGTTTTTCAAACTTGGCAACTTTCAGATGGGTGGACTTCAACTCCCAGAAATCCCCAGCCAGCATGGCTAGCTGGGGAATTCTGGGAGTTGAAGGCCACCCATCTGAAAGTTGCCAAGTTTGAAAAAGGTTGACCTAACTGAGCTTCCCTAATAAGTGCTAACCACAGGTTAACAAGCTCCACCTGAAATTGACACACCGAAAGCTTTTGCCTCCTGAAGCACTGGCAAGTTCCTCTCCATCCATCTTCCCCTTTGTGTGTCTGCTTACTCACTTTCCATCCCTTCCTCTCCCATGAATGTACACACAAATATTAATCAGTGTGTGTGTCCTCCTTCCCCCATTTGTCCTCCTTTGCCTGATTGGATATCTGGTAACCCTATGCCAAGGGGACAAGCGGCCTGATGTGCCCTCCTAACCTGGGGGAGTGACCAGGAGCGATCCGTCACTGCATAAAGGCCTCAGGGTCGAAGGTGGTCTGCTCTGCTTGGTGCAGAAAAATGTCAAGGACGGGTGGCCAGTCTTCTAACACATGACAATAACCCCAATGTTGGAAGGACGGTGGGGTGGGGTTGGGCAGTCTGGTCTATGCCAATTCACCACCTGTCTTGGCCAAAGTCCAGAGGGGTGAAAAAGCATGGGTTTTCTGCTCTGGTAGCGCCTGTTGTCTTCATCGAAGTTGGAGAGACCTTGTGCTACTTTGCCTAAATAGTGAACCCTTAAAGCTGCTCTAGTCCCTAAAAATTCAATTAAAAATAAAACATTCTTGGATTTTTTCTGGATGTATTGACTTAGTTTGTTGTGCAGTGGCTTAAATCCTGTCGTCTTAATTTCAGGACAGCCCACGTACAGCTCTTTTCTTGCCCTGGACCTGCAGGAAATCGGGGAATCACATAAACTTCCTGCTAATGATCAAATACTGTATACCACTTTGGTTAATTTCTTTAAATAATTTAGGATTCAGGATATCCTGGTTTCTTTTGAACAGGTAACCAAATCAGAAATATGTGAACATTTTAAGTGTTTAAAATATTGTATATCAGTTGGAGTACAGCAATGGGGAAGTTAGAAACTAAATATGTATGTATAACGTTGATAGTAACCTTTCTTTTGTGTGTGTGTGTGTGTGTGTCTTTAAATAACAAAATATTATAGTGGACATTTTGCCACTCAAATCCTTTCTTACATTGTTAAAATAATTCAAGTACTTTTTTATGGTTAATTTCCTATCAAAGTTATATTGAGCACTAACTCTACCACACTGGTAACGCTTTTGCCCACTTACAGGTATTATATTTCTGCATCAATTTTTTTTTCCTCCTTTCGCTTGTTCTTTTTCTTTTTCAAAAAATAATTAATTTTAAAAAATGGGAGGGAAGTGATTACCCAGAGTGCCTGTTTCAGAGGTTTCAGGAAGTCATGGTTAAATGGGGATTTTCCTGTTTTCTTTTAGGAAGACAAAGGCACGAGGAAATGGATGGTCCACTGCCTGTGTAGGTCTCGGGTTAAATTTGGCCATTGTGGCCTAGTTGATTCCAGGCTGAAACTGCAAAACGTA